GCCAGGATTGGACATTGTTTCATTCTGCTGTGCATAGGGTCGCTATGAGTCAGTGCCGACTCGATGGCACCTAACAACAACAACAATGACATCATCCCTTTCAGAGCAGTAGTAGTAGCCAGACACCAAGTAGTTCTTCTGGTCTTAGGGTTGTGGAGATGGATGGTCATGTGATCTATTCGTTCATTAGGCTAATTGTTTCCATGTGTCTTTGAATTTCTTCACTTTTCTTTCTTCTGGTCAAGGAGAGACTCATAGTTGCACCTTAGATGGCTGTCCATGAGCTTTTAAAACCCCAATAGCTACTCACCAAAATAAGATGTAGAACAGTGCTAATCAACAAAGTAGAATATAGACATTGTCTTTGTGGACGATGTTATTCCAATTGACCCGAGATTATTATGATCCTGAGCACCCAGGCCCAGTGATTCATTCCTTCAAAGTATTTGATTATGTCAAAAAAGTTTCATAACGTTGCTCCCTGTGTGCTTCACCACATTCATGGATATATTTGCAGCAAAAGTAAACATCCATGTGCAAATATCCTTTATCAAACCAATATATGTTTGCGAGTATACTCTAACTCTACCTCCCACATCTGTTCAACCTGCATGGCTACTGATGCATCTATGCACAGATGGCCATTTTTGCAGGATTGTTGCCTTTAACTCTTGCTCTCTTCTCAGTATCTTCCCATGGCTCCATCATTTTTTGCCAACCTGCCTTTTAATGGATTCCACCTTCCCCTTCACCTAAGTAACATGTGTATGATTTATTCCCAAATTTGAAAAGATACGTTCTATCTTGAAATATTTGACTTCTTCTCTATTTGAAGGTTCTGTTACTGCACTATTCCCTCTTTATACTTTGTAATTGTGTTTGTTACAAAATGATACCTCTGGTTGCCTATTTTAGTAAAACAAGTTTATTTTACTTTGGATGTTTCTATGACTGGGTTGAGTTCTGGGTGGTTTTGTTGTGTATGTTAATCCCAGTTTGTCATTTATTGCTGTTGGTTCTCTGAAAAAGTTCCTTTTGTAGTTCTTATTAAGTTGGTGTGACTTGTACAAATACTTTAATTTCTGCTTATCTGGAAATGTCCTAATTTTGCTTACTTTCATATTTCAGGGACAATTTTGCTGGATATATGATTCTTGATTGGCATTTTTTTCTTTCAGAGTTTTATATGTGTCATCCCATTCCCTTCTTGCTTGCATGATTTCTGCTGACAAATTAAAGCTTAGTCTTATTGGTTCTTCTTTATAGGTAACTTTTCCTTTTTCCACTGCTCTCAGTATTTTTTCTTTGTCTTTGGTTTGAAAATTTGATTATGATATGTTTGGGTGATTTTCTTTTGTGATCTATCAAGTTTGGTTTGTTCAGATTCTTTCATGATGTTAGAGAAATTTTCTTCCAACAACTCTTCAACAATTTTCTCTGAGCTTTTCTTTGTCTCTTCCAGTTCTGGATTTCTAATCACATGTAAGTTATTTCTCTTGATGGTGTCCCCTAAAATTCTTAGGTTTTCTTTGGATTTTTTCATTCTTTATTCTGTTTGTTTTTCCAACAGATTAGTATTAAGAGCTTTCTCTTCAAGCTCACTAGTTCAATTTTCCATTTATTCAATTCTACTCCTTTGCCCTTTCAATGTATTACCTTTTTCTGAAATCTTAGTATTAATCTTCTGAATTTCTATTTGCTATTTTTGTATGGTTTCTAATTTTTCATTTATTTTGTCTGTTTGTTCTTATAGTATTCTCCTAAATTATTCTAAATTTGTTTCTGTTTTCCTTGATTCTGTCTTCCGCTTTCTTGATATTTCTCTCAATTCATTGAAAGTACCTAAATATCATTCTTTTTGGATTCCTCATCAAGTAGTTCTAATGCCATTTCTTCCTCAGAAAGATTTTCTGACTCTGTATTTTGATCATTTGTTTGAGCCACTGTGTTGTTTTTAATCATGTCACATAATTAAAAATGGAATAGCATGCAATATCCCTGGGAGAGGTAGCACATGTGTTTAGATTTTCACTAAAATGATATTATTGATACCATGTTATTTCCTGTGAGCTTATTTTTTACACTAGGCATAGGTGAAGGATGGTGTCCCTGCATCTTGCCTGACCCTACAGGTCCCTAAACAAGCAAGGGGGGCTTCATTTTGGGCCACTGATCCCTAAGACTGGGAAACATGGTCAGACTGGCTAAAGTCCCAATGGTAAAAGGAGTGGGAGAAATGTAATCAGCAATATTAGACATTTTAGGAGGAAAGGAAAGCAGAAATAAGATGCAAATTTCATTCCCAACTATGTCAACTCTGTAGTAAATTAAATTGAAGTTTTCAATTGTCAATGCAGAAAGATAGCTCAGAAAACTACTGGACTAAATTAACATTTTAAGATGAGGAAATTGAAGCACAAAGGACAGAGATGCCATCTGATTCACACCATTAATAGTAGCAAACTTTAGGACACAAAATTTCTGGCTTTCACATAGCCCATAATCATTAGAATAAATAAAATCTTACAAACGTCCTCTGTAAAAGCAAGCAAAGCGGTAAGGAGGAATAATGTAGTGCAGGGTCCCAACCAAAAGACCCAGTTACTCAGATTCTTAAGAATTACTCAATTAACTACAAAATTCCCTTCTTCTATGTCTGATTTCAGGATAGTCCCTCTCCCAGATCTTTGATAAAGGGTATAACCTTACAGAATGGTCAGGGAAATTCCTCAAGTCACTCATTTCAAATTCTTGGAGCCTCTGCCCATACTGTTTTTTCCCCTTCCCACCTGTCACAATTAAATGCATACTTCAAAACCAGTTTAAATGCCACTTCTTTTCATGAGTCTTTCTCTGGTCCATTTTTCCTATAAAATCCCAAATATAAGTGATATTTTCTCTTCTGAATGATCAGAGCATATTTTTAACCTCTCTCATTGTGCTTGTGATGCTAGTTCTTATATAATAACCATTTATTAGTATTTCTCTTTACTACTAGTTCTTGAGAGAAGAGGCCCTTTTAACCAACTTTGAATATCCTCTATAGTTCTTTGAATATATTAAGTGAATGTTAAAAGTTAGTTGAACTAAACTGATACAAAAAATAATCTCATTTTCTGTTATAATTTCTGTCACTTTCTCTTCAGTAGAGAGAGGAGGTAGCTTTGACTCCAGTGTCCACCCATTCACTCTATTTCCAACCTTTGCCTCCAAGAAGAAAATACAGCCAGTCACTCAAAGTAAGACCTTTTATTCAGGAGAGAGGTGGAATCCATTTCAGTAGCGAAAGATCCATCAGGGGCACTGATCAAGGGTCTTAATTTCAGTACCTCAGTCTTATAAACTTCCTGGTGAATAGTCCTCAAAGTCCAATGGTGTCACTACAGGTCCCAAGGCTTAGAAACAAATCAGCTTTAGGGGGTTAGAAGGAAGCGAACTGAGGTAACCTTAGGAAAGAGGAATTCCAAGAACGAAGAGAAAGCAGGAGTAGCAAGGGCAGCAGGTGCTCATGACTCCTCGCAGCGCCATTGTTCCAGTTTTTCAGAACACAGAGGTTTATAAGCTGGCCTGGCAACAGAAAAAGAGACAGGGCTAGTTGGCAATCTGAAGTTAGCTCAAATTTCCTTCTAGCTTTATCACCAAGAGGGTTGAGGTGGCAAATTATAGATGAAAATCACAGAAAAATGTTCCCATCCTGATGGCAAGAAACATTGAGCCACCTAATGCAATAAGGTTCATATTCCCAATGTCAAGAAAATTGTAAGGATTTAAAAAAAAAAAAAAAAAAAAAAAAACCTTGCTTTAGGGTCTAGAACCAAACAAGTAGAATTATATGTTCAAGGTCAGATTAAGGGAGGACTGGATCTCAATTGTTGTTAAAGTGCCACTGATTCTCTCTGACTCATAGCAACCCTGTATAGGGTTTCCAAATGGGTGTTGGTAGGTTTGAACAACCAACCTTGTAGTTAGCAGCCCAGTGTTCATCCTACAGCACCACACCAGTATACCATTAAGGAATCACCTGGTGTGGCACCATGGGCTAATGTGTCAGACTGCAAAGTCATTTGAACTGCAAAGTCAGTGGTTCAAGCTCACCAGCTTCTCCTTGAAAACCCTATACAGGGTCACTATGGGTCAGAATTGACTCGATGGCACTTCACAACAACAACATTATGAAAGTTGCTAGACAAAGTGGATCATGGGAGTCTTAAGAACTGAAGACCTAACTCTGCTCAATGAATTCTCTTTTAAAGATTATATTCTAGATTCAATGATAGAATGAAAAAGAAAGTAATGGTGCTGGGGCCAAAGGGGAGAGGGAAAGGGAGCAGGACAAGTAAAAAAATAAAATGGAGATTTACCAGTAACCAACTCCTTCACTATCCAGGATCTTCTTGACACACATTATGTCATCAGTAAAGTCATCATCCAGGAACTCTAGCAGGCATTTCAGAGAAAAGAATTAAAGAGCTAAGAAGTATTTCAGAAGGGTGATAACTTTCCCTCTTGCTTGGCTCTTCTCTGATCTGAAGGCTTATGCCTGTTTTCTTTCTATATGAGAATTCCAACATGGTAATGTTTCCTTCTGGGTAGAAACTTCCTCCATGTCAGTGCAAAGTCTCGGAAGAGTTATCAATTTCATCAACCGATTTGGCCTAGAATCACCTTAAATTTTAGGCTATAAGATTCCCAGAAATCTCAGGTTCCATATCTCTGAATCTCAGGGGACTATTTGATATTTGGTAATCATGAAAATTCCAAACTTTTTACTTAGCAATGCCAATTCACTCCACAACTGATGTGGACTCCAGCCAAAGCCATGAGGCAAGAAATGTTCTTGACGCTGAAAAGGAAATTATCCCAGGGGCAAGTTCCAGAAAAACAGAGGTAAAGGGTAAAAGCAGCTACTCACTGTCACAGGAGATGTTGCAGATGTTCCTTGACTGAGGAAACTGGTCGTCCCTGCACCAAAATTTGTTATTGATCTGGAAAAGTCCATATGCTGTGTTGCCATTGTATTTAACTATGGTTTGGGTATCGCAACCACTCATATGAAATATTATACAGATCCCTGAGGGAAATATGGGAAAGAGATATCACAGGCATATTCAGGATCACCATAAATGAGTACCTGTAGTCCCCAATTAGAAAAAAAAGGATCTTCAACCAATCTCCAAAGATGTCAAAACACATAATACCTTAATGAGATGAGACGAGTTCCAAAAAGTATAAGACAATGGGAGCAATGAAAGATAGGAGAAGAAACAGAATAAAAGAGTAAAGGTGTTTTGTTATGTCTAAAAAGTTTTCAAAACTTTACCCACTGTATGCTCTACAACATTCATGGGTATATTTGAAAGGTACAAATATCCTGGGGGCTCAGGATCATAGTCTCAGGGGACACCAAAGTCAGTTGGCATAACATAGTCCACAAAGACAATGTTCTACGTTCTACTTTGGTGAGTAGTGACTGAGGTCTTAAAATCTCATGAGCAGCCATTTAAGATGCAAATATTGGTCTCTCTCTGTCTGGAGGAGAGAGGAGTGATGAAAACTGAAAACACGTGGGGGACAAACAAACAACCAATCCAATAGACTAATAGACCACACAAATATCAGTCTTCAAGACCCTGAGAACAGAGAAACATCAGTCTCCAAGACCCTGAGACCAGCTACCACTACCACCTGCTCAGAAAGGGATCACATTAGAAGGTGTTGAATAGAGTGGGAGAAAAAATGTAAGACAAAACTCAAGATCATTTTTTAAATTTTTAAAAAGAAAGACTAAGCTTACTAGTTAGATGGAGACTGATGGAATCCCTGAGACTATGCCCCTTAGCCATCTTTCAGGTCTGGAAATTAACTCGCCCCATGGCTCAATTTCAGCCAAACAATAAGGGGAATATAATACTAGTGAAGTATATAACACCTTAGAATAATCAGCTATTTGAGATCAAAAGGGCAGCATTTACCCAAGGCAAAGTTCAGAAGGGTTAGGAAAGAAGGAGGAATGGAAACAAGAAGTATAGGGAGGAAGTGCATTAAGAGATATTACATTGTAGGGATTTCAATCAATGACATGAAACAAAATGCGTATGAACTGTTCAATAGAAGACTGATCTACTCTCTAAATCTTCACCCAATTCACAATAAAAAGTTTTTTTAAAAAAATAAAAAAAAGTGGAAGAGAGAACGGAAAAGAAAATGATTTTAGAGACGAGAATCGCATGGGTAGTGGAACAAAGCAAGGGAGTAAAGAACTCACATTCTGGCAAAGTGAGACCTTGATAGCCATCCAGCACTTTCAGCACCTTGCACAGCTCAGGTTTTGTAACTTCCTTGGTCTGGATGGCAGGGATCAGTATGCCTACCAGCAGAAGCGGAATGAAGAACATAATTTTGACTGGCTCCATGACTCTGAAATGGGGTGCCTCTCACCTTCACCTCCTTTTATCCATGAAGAAAGCCTCAGGGGCCCTGGCACCAAGCCATACATCCAGAAAGAGAATAGAGAGAGACTGGTCCTGCCAAAAAAAGAAACATTGGGTCTGCCAGCTTCTCACACTCTTTTCCTTGCACTTCTCCCTATCCTCAGTCCATACCAAGTATTGTTCTCTGCCCACACAGAGTTCCAAGCATGATCCTTATTACCATTTGGTTTTGTTTATACTTTTGCTTCTTGTAAGGTTGGTTCTAGGAACGGTGTGCCCAGCCTACTTCAGGAACAAAGGAGGCCTCAGGGACAATACAAGTGTGACAGAAAACTACAATAAGGTCTCACGACTGATTCCCTCATCCCCCTAAAGACATACAGAATATGGAAAGAAAATGTATGTCATCATACTATGGTCCCAGAATTAGGGCTAGCATTTGTCCAGCTAACACCATCATGGAACAAAGTCCAGGAAGAGTTTCTGGTTCATGGCTAAGAGTTCAGGAATAGGGATAGAATATGCGAATTAGCTATTACCTGGACCCAGAAATTCACTACTTAGAGAAAATGGGGAACTTGAAAAGCACGAATGACAGAATGACAGCTATACTATAGTTATTAATAGGGCTCCCATCTCAACCTCCACTACTACTAAGTAACCAAACACTACATTGGTATTGATTCAAGCATTAAGTAAATTCAAGCCTAACAGAAAAGAGATTTGTTCATGGATAGAGGAATTGTAGACAGTCCCAGTGTTGGTCACCAATTAGAAAAACGGTGAGAAGAAAAGGTCCTTTAAGATTGAATTTAAGCCCTTTAAGATAAGATCAAGATAAATCTTGACCCTACAGAAGAAATTTCTAAATGTAAACTTTTAGGTTAAGCGCCCCTGAAAAGGCAGTGTTGCGGGGACACTAGTTGTTGAATCATTTCTTAAACTTGACAGCATCAAGCTTCATATGAAGGTGCCAGCAGCAACTATCAGCCTCCTTCAATCAATGGCTCTTTATTCCAATCCTTAAAAATAATTTCTTTTAGAGCAATGCATATGTATCTCAACCAAACTAATCAAGATTTTCAAACTGCAGATATTCCATATTGGTCTCTCTCAACACTCTTCAGAGTCAAGGAAATCTCCTTTCTATTTAATCCCCTCTTGTATACCATGAAGGAGCGCAGTGGCTTCATATGATAAACACTGGACTGTGAATCCCCAGGTTCACGTTTTGAGGCTGCCAGCCAGTCCACGGGAGAAAGATGAGGCTTTCTGCTCCTGCAAAGATGTAAAACCTCGGTAACCTTATACAGGGTCACTATGAGTTGGAACTGAATAAATGTCACTTAGCAACAACAACAATAATGCCATGAATAACCAGCATGTGATGTGGTATGAATAAAACTAGTGTGGAGGAGCTCCATGTACCAAGAGATGAACAAGAAGTCCTAAAAGCAAAACAAGATACATGTTCAGAAAAATGGCTACCATTTAATTTCCCCTTCATACCACCCAGAGACATTGGAGAGGTGCACACGAAGGACAGGATGAACATGCCATCACACTTAGTAAGCTTTATTGAGAATATGGTTGAGGATGAGATGATGACCTTAACAGATAACAGAAGGTAGTTCTTGAGATCTAGTCTTTTCACTAGTGGAGTCGTGTGTAAAATGTCTCCTGCCTTGGAATATGGACTAAGTACCTATTATAGATTTACATGATGGTCCAGGATCTCAAAAATCACGTGAATTTTCTCTACTTCTAAACAAAGTGAGACCCATAGCAGAAGACTGTTTGCCTGTCCTTTGGTTGTAACTTTGTCCTTCCCTGTAGGCAATGAAAAGCAACATCCAGGTCAGGAATCACAACCAAGAGAAGAGAAGAAAATAAATGTGCCTTGAGCCAGAGGACCATTATTTCCATAGAAATGTTTGTAAAATAGAATATCTGAAAAAAGAAGATAGACGGTATCTAAAAGGGACAATTACAAACATCCAAAGATGTAGATTATTGGAGATGGTCCAAAGAAGAATAACAAATAATGTCCCAGAACCAAATGGTAAGTGTTTGGGAAGATGTGAGAACAACTCACATATGAGAAGATCCTCCAGAGAGGTTTCGTTAGGGTGTTCTACATGAATGCTATAATCTGAATCAAGGCAATGAAGGGATATTTCCTATGTACTTTCTGAGATTTTTCAGAAATACTCTAGGAAGCTATGATCATTCTCTCCAGCACTGTGATGAAAAGCAGGGTTTCTCAAACCAGAAATCATAAATTTGAAGGAGCTCTAAAGATCTGATAGTCAGGATCATCTGCTTCAGAACACAGTTGGCAGCAGTAATATAAAATTATAGTTTGTAGGTTACTGGTAGTTAAAGCCCAAGGCTTGTATTTGAAAAAACACTCTTGAGGTCCATAATAATATTGATTTTTACTTCTAATAGTTAATACACTCACCTTAGTCTACTTCCTCCCATAATTCAGGTAGATTATCACTGGGTAAATAATGAAGGAAGACCGTGGACTTGAACATTTGAACACTTCAGACAAATGTTTAATAAAATTATATAGTTAATACAGCAATTAAGATTTGAAGAGATCGTGAAAGAAAGACTGGCAGGAAAAATCAAAAACAATAAGGGCAGTCTGATTGACTACTATAAGAACAAGCAAGCTGTTCACCCGGGAGCCATCAAGGTAAGTGGTCAGGTCCCCTCAGAGCAAACCCCCTTCCAAGACTAAGACTCAAGGAAAATACACAAGCAGGCATGTGGTCTGGCTGGTGACCACGTTGGTCACCAATAAGGGGAAGTGGGGGGAAACAGCAATGAAGTTGTGAGTTAAATCCGACCACGTTCAATAGACTTCTGTGAACCCAGGTTGAGACCTGGTTGGCCAGCAGTGTGGCTAGACCTGGGGACTCCTGGGCCCA